TGGTAGTTAAGTACAATTGACGCGGTTCAATTTGTAAACTTTGCCATTTTTGTTGTATTCGCAAAGGGAAATTAAAAACTGTGACTGATCTCTTCGGCATACCTGACTTCACATTCGTAGAAACTTGAAAATCGCAGAACAGATTATTATAAAATTTGATATGAGGAGATTTTACTAAAGTTTATTGACGCATTCCAGTTTGGTTAAAATCGGGAAACAACGAGGGATAGATTACATGCTTTTGTGCGCTCATCTCGTCCTTGACTCACAAATATTCATCTAAGCTAAAACTGTTTCGAAAAGAAGCCTGTAGAAAAATTAACATCGCATTTCAGATTCATTTCCTGTAAGGCAGAATCAACACCAAATATGAAATACAATATGCTACGCAACATGAAACGCGGCAAGACTCATTTGAGAACCGCCAATTTTAAATTGACAGTCTAGACCCAACAGCAACATAGCAATCTTGATGCAGTAGTCCGCGCACATCTTGTTGTTATAGAATCATTAAAGGAAAAAGAGAACGCGTCAAAATTTTACACTCTTGTTGCATTTCGCAACCTGTACAAAATTCTGAACAAATTTTCGGAATTACTGCATACATATTGTCACGTGAATGAGGGACTACGGCCTTTGAACAACGGAGGATAACCAGGGTCTGTCTGACTCTTCGATAACCCCACCTCGTTACATGTCCTCGAGCATCTCTTCGATATCCGCCTGTTTTGTTTGGGGAATACTTTTCGGTGGTTGGTGAATCGGTCTGGCCTCTCCCGTATCTGTACGGTGTTATACTTTGTCGGTCTGTCCGTAGTATTCTCTCTTCATAGCAAAGATGTGTCAGAACGCGGAGAGGAGCTCTTGTAGTCCTCGGGATTCAGCATCACTAGTGTTTGGCCTGGCCATATGAAATCACGTCCTGTAACAACCTGTGGTTGTTCAACATCGGATGGTGTCACGAGCTTGACTGGCTCAGTTTGCCCACAGGAAACATCTTCGTTCGTTCGATTGATCGGTCGTTTCAAGGAAGTTTCCGAAGTTTGGGATAAGCCACTGTGTCTCCCATATCGGAAAGTGAAGACTAGAGAACGTGCTTATCCTGCTATTATCTTTCGAATAGGAATATCTTGTTAAGACAGCGCCGTTAAAAATAGCCGAAGAGCGAACGTTTGCATACCTCAGTATGCCGTAAAATTCTCACTTGCGTTCCGAAAATTTCTAAGTCGAACCCTAGAGAATCTTTGGCTATCCTCGTTGGGGATTCCTCAGTTCTTCCAAGACAATACCGGTATAATACCTTCTCAGATATCTCTACAGATTTTTCGTACATAGGCCTAATCATCCTCCCATCTCTTTCGAAGCGAAATAACTTATGTTACTGATATAGCATTCTTAAATTACCTAACAAAGAACTTCTACGTCTCTACAAAGTAGAGTAAAGGTCAGACTTACTTGTGAGGCGTAGAAGAAGGACTGCAAAGAAGTGGAACTGCGATACATTCATCTTATAACATTTTCTAGACCCGTGTTCATGCTTCAGCTCCTGTCACTTCTTTCTGAGTAATCAGGTTAAATGCCAGTACAAGGGAATTGCCGGCTCGCTGCGTTTACAGCGTTCTGAGAGCCTGGCATGACCGACAGCACGTGTTGGCCGACTCATGGCCGGCAACTCTGATCGAAATACGAAGAGTTACGTAACTTTGCATTGACATATTCTGCTGAAGTGGAGAGCCGGTTTGATCCTACATCGTAAAATTCATGGAATGCGCGAGTATTGGCTACAGTCTTTAAATCAGATTAATAATGAAATACTTAAAGTTGCTTTATTTCTATTTTATATCTAGTCCTGGCATTATTAAGCAAACTTTGCACTAATTGTAAAAAATGAAGGCGGTTTCCTTGTGCTAATCCTTTTCTCTACATGTTTCGTCTATAAAAATACTGAACAAATTTCTAGGAAGCTTCACATAACACCCTAGGAGCACAAAGTTGACTTGTAAATATACCCAGGTTATCAAGAAGGGTTTATCGTAAAAGAACTTCTAGGCGTAATTGTCGTATAGAGATCATTTAGATTTATAATCGCTTGCATCCAGTATGGTTCGAGATGGTTTATAATTAACAAATTAAATTGAAGTAGCTGATGTTAGTCTACTCAGGTATATCTCTGATATGCAAGGGTATCAGCAGCATCTGCAATAAACTACTGTCGATATGCGGGCGGTTTCTGAGAGACGAATGAATTTATGTAAGGCAACCTAATGCATTCATGCGATTAAACACTGAGTTCTTATAATGTTTCCTTTCCTTTAGATGTTTCAGTCTCGATAATAATGTTGTCATGAACTATAAATTAATATGTATTAAGTAATAGAATTGTAACATATGGTATATACGGATAAGATATCTTATTAGGTAATTTTAAAATTGAATAATTGTGGTTAATGTACAATTACATTTAAATTACAAAAGCGTGATGTCCTCTCGTGGCATGATGTTGATACCATGTTTCATGAAAATCCATTGAAGTATTTCAAAGTTATTACATGAGAGAGACGTATGGACACACTGACATATCACAGGTCTGATCCTATCTTTCCATACGAAATAAGAAAATTAGGATAAAAACTGAGGGTACCATTAAACAGAAGCATATTCAATGAAAATAACAGCCGCCTATTCGAACGATTCACTGAAAAACATTCATATCTCTAACATCGTCGCCTGAATTGGTAAATTTAGGCTATACAAACACACGAAACATTCATTTTAGGAACGTTGCCGCATAATCACGGCGTAGAACACATGCGTAAAATGGAAGCATTTATAACAGACATGAAAGGATTTCCTAATGAAGCGCTGTTCTGAGTTTCAACCACCTCATGAAGGTTCAGGTTAAAAATTACAATTTCATATTTCATTGTTACTGAGATTGTTGTCTACAGGAATATGATTCCTGGTAGTTTAGGAGACCGGCACCAACGTTTCGAAATAACATACAGCCTTCATCTTCCAATTACTAAATATATGAAAGCTTTTAATTTAATTTTAATGACTTGAATTAATCTTCCGACACTCAGACACTACGATGCTCGCGCTATTAGTTTCTTAATTCGACGCATGAAATCAATAAATAAGAGACAGACACTGCATGAGACTTCCCCCACCGCTAGTAAACCATCTGACTTGGCTCCAGGATGACGTCTTGGGAGTGCGTCTCTACAGATGAATTTGTTCCTTACATGCGTTATGGTTTCATAATGCAGCCATGTTTGTTTAACTTTATGTCAGTTTTCGCTTGGAACATATCAGTATTCCAATAAATCTGTGTGGAAGAGAAACCCTGATACTTCGCCTGGAATTAAAAAAAAGTGGGAAATACGCTCAAATTTAGTGAGCACAGAGTATTTTTATTCATTACTGACCCTGATACCCATATATGAACATGCTTTCCTTGTCTTATAAAGGAAGAATTTTATTGGTACCTCGTATGTATACCATACCAGTACGCATCTGTCCACAGGTGTAAATTGTTAAAACTTTCATTAATAATGTAATGAAAGACGTTTGCATTTCTGAGATGGCTGCGATACTAACGCTGTGTAATGTACGAGGGGCGTTCAAGTTCTCCGATTTTTTTTCTCAGGACTGGGAGCAGATAGACACATGCGGTTTTGTTTAAAATACGTGTGCACTCTTTGTGAATGCGTAACAGAGATGGCAGAACTCTACGGCACACAGAATTCTAGTGGTAGCGGCGAGTGTGAGGAGTGTTTTTGATACTTATAATGGCGACGTTTTCGTTACAAGAACAGCGAGTAATCATTCGTTTTCTCCACTTGCGTGGTGCGACACCCATTGAAATTCATCGCCAGTTGAGTGAGACATGTGGTGATGGTGTTATGAATGTGAAAAATGTGCGTTCATGGGCGCGACAGTTCAAAGAAGGCTGAACGTCGTGTGACAACGAACCAAAACAATCCCGGCCTCGCACCAGCCGGTCTGACAACATGGTCGAGCGAGTTGAGAAAGTTGTTTTGGAGGATCGCCGATTGAGTGTGGAAAACATCGCCCCCAAAGTTGGCATTTNGCGTTCGCAGCGGCCATGGAATCATGGCGTCGACGTTGTGAAAAATGTGTACGGCTGCAGGGAGATTACGTTGAAAAGTGAAAAATTTTTTGTATGATTATTGTGTGAGAAAAAAAAATCGGAGACCTTAGAACTTGAACGCACAACGTAAAGTCATGAAATTTAACCTAATCATCGGTCTTTAAAAAATATGCGACTTTTATTAGGATAATTTTCTTGTGTGATGTAAAACAGGAATATGACGGCCGCACCAACGTGATATCTATCTGTTAATTTGGTGGCGGTAACTAATTGATAACTACTCGCAAATTAAATATTCTGTGGGCAAAGACCGTAAAGAAACATAAAATGCCGTATGAAATATTCTCCAGTCTGTGTAGCGTGTTATAGAACACTCATTTTATGACCCTGCTATAAAACACAGCAATGATTTATCTTTTTAAGAATCAACGAGCTGAAGTGCGTGTCTTAAGGACAGAATATGGGTCTTCTAACTTCGAGAACAAATGCTGTAGTGCCACATAAAATAGCTCATTTTCCTTGTAATGTGCACCCTAACTACACACGCGATTTCCTAATCTTAGGAAAGTTGCTGATAATTTACAAAGGACTGCATATCCGTCGCACCATCATGCATGCTCTTGTTTGATAAGAAGGGCAGTTGCAATGGCTCGCCCTTTCCAGATTACATATTCGCTCTACAGCCACTCATTCTTTTAAAAATAATAACAAGCCAATTCTTTCTCTGGAGGTATGTATGACATACCCAGTGGCGACACTTACATCAAGACATCATGCCACCCACACAGTTTATTCACTACAACTGAAATTCAGAAAACTTTATAGTCGTGGAAGAAGATGTGAAACTCATTTCTGTCAGGTTATTTCCTGATATTTCTTTTTCCAGGAGACGACGGTGGTGGAGACGATGATGAAGAAGAAAAGTTACCTTCATGCGGGGACTATGTTATGCACTTCATCACCCTCTTCTGGAAGCTCCTCTTTGCCTTTGTTCCACCAACAGGTGAGATGACTTTGTCAGACAAATTGCCTACACAGAGAGCCCACTACTGGCCAAAGGTTGCACGTTCTATGGGATGGGGACACACAGCTGTGCCATCTTCACTAACTTTGAGACTAATGAAAAATTTACACAGTACTAGTCGATTTGATTTATATTTATACATGTTGAGACACTTCCTGCAACCCCCATCGCCTCCCGAAAAGAAATATTTACCCTGCAAGTGGAAAGGTAGGCCACAACATAAATGACAGCCCTCAAAGAAAATAATGGGTAATAGCATATGGTGAAAACTTCCATCTTGAAGTTGCCAATTCCAGTTCTTCCAGGACTAGATTCAGCACTTAACACTGTTAAGTCTTGTGATTAACAAAACATTAATACTATTTTAACTTACACTGACACTAGTAAATTATTTTTAACATACGTATTCCACAGGTGGTTCCAACCTGTGGTCAGTAGTTGTGGTTCTTCTTTGTCTTTAATAGTCTGAAAACATATTCTAGTAGAATTTTTGATATTGAGTGAATATTGATTGTGTGTGAGGGTAACAGAATTCACTGGTTTGATGTATTATGGCTGGATGGCTTCACATTTAGGAGTTTAATATTTTCTCAATTTTCAAAATGAAGGTTTTGAAAACATCAGCAAATCAGCCTTACCATTGTTTTATCATACAGAAATGTCAACATATCTCAGCTTACTGCCATGAAACATCCAAAGACCCCAAGGACTCGGTATTGTTTTATAAATGCAAAAACGAAATTGCTCTTAAAATTAACACATATATTTACATTAAGGACTCTTTGACTATACAGGGTCTGGAAGGGAAACATGACATTTTTACTATTATACTTATTTAGAAGCCATCTGGTTTCCTTGCCAGACCCTTAATAAATATTATTAACTTTACTTGAAATGTAGAAGTCAGATTCCTCAAATTCTTGAAGCCTAATTTCAAATAGAACAGTTATTTTTTTTTATGTATGCAGCTTTTTGTTCAGTGACATGTTGTCTCCCCAGTGGCAGTTTAATTACATTCAGTATAGTTTTTCTTGTTGTTCACGCATGAAACAGTTTATAATTTACATTTTAAAAGTTCAGTAAGAAATGACAAATAAATAATTTCATTGCAAACAGCTATGTTAATGAAGTCTTTCAGTGAATTACCTAACTAAAGTGGAGTAACATAAAATTTCGCAACTGCTCAGTCAGTGAAAACATCCTACTTTCATGAAATCTGAAGGTCCATTATCATGTTCACAAATGCCCACCATGCCTGAGCCAGTGGAATGTGACCCACAGCTTCACATTCTATTTCTTAAAAATAATTTTTAATATTTTTTTCAGTTATGGCTGTTTCTTGTAAGTTTGTTCTGACTTTGAAATTTTCAGGTCAGAATTTTGTTATCATTTGTCGTCTTCCTCATACACTTCACGCCCATCACATTATCCTCAATTTAATCACACTAATAATATTAGGAGAAGACTTCTCTTTGTGTGGATTTCTTCATCCTCGTGTCACTTCCTCTTTCACTGACACAAATATTCTCCTCAGCTTTATGTCACTGTACAGCCCATGTTTTTCCTGTAGATATATATATATCAGGTTTCACATCCATACTGTAAAAAAGTCAATGTCATGAATAATTATAATTTTCAGTCTTTTTATACTGGGTTCTTTATAGGAGAAGAAAGTAAAACATATAAAATAAATAGTAAAAAAATGCTAGAATTTAATCTGTCCATCATTTCATTGTTAATATTATAGGAATTTCCATGAAATTATGGTGTAACTAATTAATCCTTTGGAAGTAGAATGCAGATGCATACAAAACCCACTGTTGAACATTATGCTGACATATTTCCTCCCACCCTTACAACGTTATTTTCTAAGATTTATCTTAATGTTATCATTTTGTCTACTTCTTGGTCTTCTAATTGCTCATTTATCCATTCATTTCACCGCCAACATCTGCATTCATATTTAGTCTTCCCCCACCTGCACTACAACCCATGGCATTTAAACAAGTATAAGTAGTTGCTGTGTCTAAAACTCTTTATGTACTACACAGTCCATCAACAATGCATTTTTGACAATCTGTGTATTACATAAACAGTTTTAGTTATGGTAATGCAACAGGATATTTAAATACAGGGTAGTAGCTGTTTGTTACTATATTATTTATTTTGGAATATTCAAACTTTATTTTAATAACTTCAGCTGGTGTTTTTACTAGATTATACGATGGGGTACCCAAAAGAAACCGAACTAATTTTTTTGTGGGCAGAGCTTTTGTAGTACCGCATTTTGCCTCTATGAGCACATAGAGCTAACATTCCTGAGTCGATAAGCCGACTACCGTTGCTTCAGAAGGTAAGGACTAGTTTCGGCAGAGTTCATAGTGACAACTGTTCTGTATGATCGTCGTTTTTGCAATGGCCCGAACACATGAAAATGTTGAAAAAATTCGTGAAATCATCAAGGAAGATTGATGACGGACCATTGAAGAAATTGTGGAGCTGACGGGAGTGACTTGGAGCTGAGTTCAGCGAATTTTTACAGAAGATTTGGGTATGAAAAGGGTGGCTGCAAAATTCGTGCCATGACTGCTGACTGCTGAACAAAAACAAGGTCGCGTGGAAGCATGCTGTGCTTTGAAAGAAGAGTCCCGAAATGACCAAAACTTTTTATCAGCGTTTTGCTGATGTTGCTGAGGTGAAGGAAAAAAACGACGGAGGCGCTGTCAAGCATCTCAAAAGATGAATTTAGACAATGTTTTGAAAAATGGAATAAAAGACTAGACAAGTTTATTAGTGTAAGTGGAGAGTACTTTGAAGGGGATTGAAGGTTTGTGCTTAAAATTTGAATAAATAAGTTTAAAAAAAAAATAAGTTCGGTTTCTTTTGGGTACCCCCTCGTATTAAAATAATGAATGTATTATTTGCTTTTTTGTATAAAGGAGTGCCATTTTCTCTTATATATTATCTGAATTGCTGAACACTGGATTACATCAAGAAACATGCGAGCTTCAGGTTTTGTATCGCTATTCCAAACATAGTGTCATGATCATCTGTTATTTTAATAATAATTTAAATTTAAATGTATCCAGACACATTTCATAGTTTCAATGATTGTTGGTGTCAAGATGTGTCAACAGCAAGGTGTATTTTCATCATGTAACATCAGTTCTGTGGATTGCAAAAGCTTCAGTGTTTCAAGACTGCAGACCCATGTTAAAACTTACTATTCTAACTCAGTGAAATAATAATATGAATAAATTAACTGGTGAGTAATTAAATTATAAATCACATGACTCACATATTTATTTAAGGAGTAGTGTAAAGTCATGGAAGTTATAACATGCAATAAAGCAAGCTTCCACAAACTGTGCTACTGTATGGCAGTATTAGCCCTTTCCATTGCAGAATTCAGTACAAAAATGCCTTCCATTTACATATTTCAACGCTACTTTATATAATTTTCATTACTTAAACCCAGCACATCGCTTGTACATGATTTCAGACATTTACAATGGTTCAGTGCTAATACCATTCTTCTTATGGGTGATGACACTGTGTAGACCTATATATTATAGGCTGTATTGCTGATGTTCCAAAGATTCTTATTGTCTCTATCTTAAATGCAAAGTGTTGGTCTTGTACTGTAGGTATTGTCAATAGATATTGGTTATTCTCCTAACCTTGAAGATAGAGACAGGATATCTGAATCACAGGCAATACAGCTCACATCCACACAGTTTCATCACCAAAAAAGCAAGTTCCATTACCAAAAATGAAGAACCACATTACATAGTTAGCTTGAACAATCAATAAATGGTAAGGAGAATTTATTTTTACTGATACTATTGAACATGTAACACCATAGAGAAGAGAAGTAGCAGGCGTATCTGAGTAAGCTTTCAAAAACAATAAGTGGATAAATTTGACATCTGATTATAGTTGCTAATACATAAATTTATTCCATGATTTTATTATTACTTTCTTACAATACAAATACTTTTTTATGAGGTTTTATGATGTTACATTTTGTTTTGTTTTAATTTTCTTTTCTATCATTTTCAGCTTTGAATATCAATTATCAGTACATTAGGCATATTAAAGTGTATCATGTTGAGTGAATTTTATTTCTTTGCAGTTATTCCTGAGTTGTATAATTGAATGTTTCTTTATGATTGCAATGTATGAACCAAGAAGAAAGTTGACGTTTTCCCCCATTATTTTAATTATACATTTTTCATGTGACCTAAAGGATAGTACACATTATATGTGTTCCTGAAACTGGAAGTGTTAGCAGAGCTTCTTTGATTTCTTTATATTCTAAAGATGTGTCATTACTAGGGACCGGATTTTTATGCCCTTATAATCCCTTAAATATGTATGCATTTATGCATGAAAAACTTCTGAAATATGCACTAAAATATAAACATAAAATTTATACCAAATATTAAAATTCATTTTACATTATTTTAAGACCAACAAATCAATATTTAAGTTCATTTTATGTAATCACTGAATGGTTCATTTGCAGTAAAAAACTATACTTAAATACAAATCATGCAACAAAGCCAACATATTTCATTACAAATTTAAAAAACCATTGGTACTCACATTTAGCTCTCCGAACTTTCAACTTCTCTTCTGTTACAGTTCACAATTACTAAGTGTTTTAGGTTTTCCATAGTTAGTCGCCTCCTATTATCTCGTAAGATGTCCTTATAGCGGGAAAAACTTCTTTCCACCTCACAGGAACTTAGAGGCGCATGTACAAAAGCCGCTATTTGTCCACTGTTAGTGATATTTTACTTGGCAGTTCAGTACGTTTACCGGCTAAAATTTCTTCAATTTCACAAATTTGTTCATATTCTGGGGTTTTTTTTTTTTTTTTTTTAAGAATGCTGTGTACATTTTCCTTTACTACTTCACCGTCTCTTCCAGGAACCGAGTTCAATTTGGAAACAGTGGTTTTGAATACACTTATC